CCAACTGCCCTACGGGCAGATTGGAAACCCGACCGGGTGAAACGTCTCTCAGAAACACTTTAGACACTGCCTGAATCCGTTAAATACGATTAGAACACTGCAGTATACTAGTAGTAAATATATGATGCATTCTATCGGTAATAATGTTTCAGACTATAAACGCATCGAAATGATCTTTTTCCCAAATCTGTACGATTAGTGATAACTAAGAACAAGTGGCTGACTAAAAGCACAAAGTAGAGTGTGGAAGAAAGAAGAAAGAACTAGAGACCAACTATCCTTCGGGAAGATTGGAAAGTCGACTGAGTGAAACGGTAAACAGACGAAATTAGAACATCCAGAAAGTCATAACTGTCTACGTATCTTCTACGGCATATTATACACATTGACATATCAACTGATTCATTATCTCTCTACTGTAGCTTTTAAAATATCAAGCACTGTAACATATATTCACTGTGAAGAATATCATATGACAATTAATTATCTTACAGAAAACGGCAAAGTTCTTCAAAAAGATATGCTCATCTTCCAGGACTAATTATAGGTGAACTAAAGTATATATAGAAAAATTAACCGCAGATGTGTCATCTACAACCGTTGTAGATTTTACTGATCTTTTTCCAACGCTCGGAGTGAAAAGCAATAAGTCTCCTGAGTTCCACTCAGTCGACTTAAAGAAGAATTTTTTGTAGTGAAACAGAATAAGCCTCTCCAAGTTTCACTTGGTCGGCTTAATAAATAAAAAATTGTATTGATGGAATAGCACGTGTTGCAAACCATCAAAGATCTTTAAGTCGACTGAGTGAAACTCAAGAAGACTTATTGCTTTTCACTTCGAGTGTTGCCTAGTAAAATTCTTCTTTCTTTATTTCTCTATTTCTTTCCACACCGTTTTTCTCGCTCGAGTCAGATACTAGTTCTAGGTTATAGTTGATCGTAGAGAGTCGGGAAAAAGATCAGTCAAATCTACAACGGTTGTAGATGACACATCTGAGGTTAAGTTTTCTACGTATACTTTACTTCAGCTATAATTAGTCCTGGAAGATGAGCATATCTTTTTGAAGAACTTTGCCGTTTTCTGTATGAGATAATTAATTATCGCGTGCTATCTTTCATAGTTAATATATGCAACAGTGCTTGATATGATAAAAGCTATTCTACACACACAATAATGAATCAGCTATTATGTCAATGTGAATAATATGCCGTAGAAAGTACATAGACATATGAGTTTCTAGATCTTCTAATTTCGCCTGTTTACCGTTTCACTCAGTCGACTTCCAATCTTCCCGAAGGGTAGTTGGTCTCTAGTTTTTCTACTGTTTTCTACCGATAAATGATTAGCTATAAGAAATAACCATCAGTAAGAGATTGAAAAATATCCGGCATTCCCCCTCGTAAGAGTTAGCACAATCTTCTATCATCCAGCTGTAAGAGCCTGTCATAGTTGTTCCATCAAACTTTAAGGAGAAGACTTCTCCTCATACAGTTGATTTTTTTGACTGGAATCAAAATCGAGTTTTCTTCAAAGTTGGATAGCCGGAAGCGTTCTCTTTCACAGTATATATCACTTATGCTGAAAAAAATTCGGTGTCGATGGATTTTTGAATAGTTTTTCAGAAACTTCTTCACGGTTAGACCGATAAAATTTTTATTTCTTTTACGCTTTTCTCACAACAGAGTTTCCACTTAGTAAAGTACATAAATCTAAAAGAAAAGAACCGATGATTCTTAGATTCAACCGTCCAGATTCATTTGATAGTAACCACAGCTTCTGCAACTATTACCCGCTATGAGAAACGTGTAACAGCTCCAATTTCACCTTTGCAACAGCTATAGCTTCTGAGAGAATCAACATTTTGAGCTAATAGCTTTATCATACGTATTTATACGACCATCTAACAGTTCTGCCAGTTTCGGACATAAGCTTTAGGGTTTTTTTCAGAGAACCCTGTTTCAGAAATTATTACTACTATGATAGAAAATCGATGAAGAATGTATCGAAAAACACACAGAACATTCAGGAACATGTTCTTTCAAGCATTCTCCTATAAGGGAAACGCTGTCATCAAAACTTTGCAGAACAAATGGAGAATACACGTTAAGATTATTAGATCAATCAGTTACAGTAAGCCAAAAACTGTAATAACTTTCTTCATCTATGATCTTTAACTTAAGGTCGATTTGTGCACAATCTGAAATAAGAGGAAAGTCTAAACTACAAAATAAGGTCGATCGTCTTTTTACAAAGTTATAACTTTTTAATTTTTTGCCTAAAAGACAAAAACAGACTTAATTTTTTTAGTTTTGTAAATTTTTCTCTCCCTTCCAGTGTCGTCAAAATGTTTTCTTATACGTAGACTGATAGAACAAAGCGTTTTATTCATCAATAATCTCCCAAAACAGTTCAATGGTTTTTCGCGGAATATAAGCATTACTGCATATGTCATGAGAAAATTGACCTGTCTATCGCTATATGCTCAAAACACTTTTAGTTTCCAGCTGATGGGGAAACAGATCCAAGTCAAATTTGAATGAAATATACGGTGCACAATAAATGTACACCATCACATCCTTTCTGAGTTAGTCTATTCTTTTCTCTTATAGTCTAGAAACACTAGACCTTCAGTGTACCACAGTTTTTGATAGACACATCGAGACAAGTCGTGGAACACACAGTATATTTGGATTTGGCTTTCTGACTTATCGTGTTTGATTGAACGTGTGTCCTTTTATAATATAACACGGCTTTTATCTCGATGCCTCAGCGAGAAAAAACAAAATACTTCTAATATACCGAGAGAAAGTATTTTTAATTCGGTACAAGAAGGGCTTATTAGAAGTGAAGTATTTTGTTGTTGTTTTCTACCTGAGGCACGAAGGCGAAAAAGCGATGTTATATTATCAAAGAACACATGTTCAATCAAACACGATAAATCAGAAAGCCAAATCCAAATATACAACACTGTGTGTTCCACGAGTTGTCTCGATGTGTCTGTCAAGAACTGTGGTAGACTGAAGGTAGAGTATTTCTAAACTATCAGAGAAAAAAATAGATTAACTCAGAAAGGATGTGATGATGGCACCTAAAAGTGTCATATTTGAAACCGACACATCTGACTCTGCACAGTATATTTATTCAAACCTCGGAGTCACATCCGGATATGTTCCTTCGTGATTACGACACAATGTCGTCTAATTGGATCAACTATAGATACCTCGGATAAGATTTTAGAATGAAAATTTCTTGAAAAAAATGGCAACAATGCAATGTGAAATCTGCAATGTGATTTTGAAAACTCTATATAACTCAGGAGTTGTAGCAATCAAACTATGATTAAAAATTATGTTGAGAATCTTTCTCCAATATATTCCTTACTTAATATTCAATAAAAATTCATTTCCTTCAAACACTTATAGAACTTTATGAGCCTAAAAACCTTCAAAGCAATATGGTAAAATATCACCTTCAATGTCTGATAGCTTGAATGGAGTAAAAATTATCGTTAACATACCCATTTGTTTAGCGTTACAGTTTTCTACTATTCTGCGTAAGAATAACAATTTTTTAAGAAGAAAGCAATGAAATGAATGCTTTTAAATATTCTGCTCGTTTGTTTGTTGTCGAAGAGTATGCACGTATGTACTGCACAATAACATTTTCTCATTGTTGTTACGTAAGTGATCCGCAAGATGACTTTTTATACTGATATGTACGGTAAACCGACAGAAGTATAGACAGAGGTATATACCTCTGTCGGTACTCGGTTTACCGTACATATCATAAACATATGAAACATATGAATAAAAGCTCTATATAGAGCTTTTATTCAAAAAGAAATCATTAGGTAAATTCATAATATGTTGCACGAAATTCATGGAAATGCCAAATAGAAATTGTTTATTCTTGTTCTTCTTCTTGATAAACATGTTATCCTCAACACATATTCTACAAGTGTATATTAGAAAGAGTGAATAGATAACAATATACCTGGTAAAAAAATGCGATACGATTCATCTACACTTGCATTACGTGTTTAACTGAGCGCAGTATATCAAAGTATATATCAGAATGTATTTTAATTCGACGTAGGCATATGTAAAACTTTAAAAGCACAATCGGTTTTTGTCTTTTTCAACAATAACATAACTATGTAAGGCATCTCCTTGATTTTATTTTCTCATCCAGTGCTATAAAGAAGAGTGCGGTAATTGAAGAAAACTTTTTCATTCGTGAACTTCTAATCAGAACAACTTGGTTAATCTTAATTGCTGTTTCCCGATTTTTTTTCCAGACAGGTAGGAAAGGATAATCTTCATAAACCTCTTAATATCTCCGAAAACTGCCATCTCTAAATCGTTCATTTGCAGTTTCTTCAATTAAACTATTTAGAGTAATCGCAGCAAGAGAGCCAGTGTTTCTCTTTTATTCTTTAAATTATAGAACGTAGACATTGAACTGAATCGAGAGATTTCTCTCGAATATAGTTTGATAATGATTCTATCTACTTCATAAGATCTATCATTCCGATCACTTCGGAATAACCAGAATAAAACATACACGAAGATATAATGACTTGTATTCATTTCTCTTCATCATGATTTAGTAAATTATCAAAGAACGACAATGGCAATGTCTCTATAGATAATATTCTTGACAAACCAATTTATAAATTTATTTATTTACAAGTCCAATTTTTACGATACATTTATAAGTCGACCTGGTGCGATTTAGAAAATATATTCTGGAACAAAACAGATTCATTTGTGTTTATCAAAAATATTGTTTATATTCTACTTTCATTAATTGATAACTTTATTAATTTGTAGAAACATAAAAATATTCGAAACAAAGCAGGTAAACAAGGACATATAAAGATAGAGAAAATATGTGTAGCAAAAAATTATCTGAAACTCTATATAAAAGAAACTTATGCACGTAAACAACCAAACGTATATATATTATTTTAAAAATAGAAAGTGGAAATGTAATAAAATCAAGTCTGATGAGAATATTTAGGTGGTTTAGGTGGCGGTCGATGTGGAGTATTGTCCAAGAGATTCTAAAAAAAGAATAGAAAATATATTACAGCTTTCATTTTAATCAAAAGTGAAGTAGTGCTTAAAACACTAAACACATTAAACGCTTATCCTTTCATAAAACAAAATTTTCTTTCAACATACTAACCTCCGAAGATTTTGTTAATGTCTTTAACTTCACTCCGAAATGATGAATAGGTGATATATTTGAAAGATTGTTATGTGATATAGATGATGGCTGATTATTCACATCATCGAATGTCGATGCGGTTAATGTTTGACTAGCAGACGCTGAAAAAGAGTATGTCAACAACTAACTTTGAAATGAAAATAAGAAAAGAGACATACCAACAACAAAATTTCCTGATACGTTAGAATCAATATTATTTATCGATTCATTTCCACTTAGTGATCCAGCTGACGAGCTTAATGACGGTGCTTGCCGTGGTCGTCGTGGCCTTTGAGAACGTAACTAAAATCGAACAAGCAATCTATCGTTATCTAAAAATTTTAAGCCATTAGACAAAAAGTTAATACCTCTTCACGTAATTCAATTGCTGTTTTTTGTGGTGATGATGTTGTCGTTGGTTTGAAAAAAGATATCGAATTTGAAGAAGATGTACGACTAGCTACTTGAAAAAAATGAATAAATATATAATAAGAGGAACATTTAGATCAACAATTTTATACCTGATAACTCTGATGTATTTGTTGGGGTTGAAATGCCAGTATCGAGCGAAGATTGTGTATTGGATCGTATAATGAGAGACGAAATATTGGACGAAAAATCACTTCCTGGTCTAGTAAATTAAAAACCAATGTTTAGTAATAAACAAAAATATTTCTTCCAATAATTATTGATAGTTATTGAAATTTTGTAAATATAGTAGTATGTTAATCGTTTTTCTGACAGTTAACGCATTGATTTTGACTAGAGTGACATTATCATTTAGACACTTCCTGTTGGTACATACGTGCAAAATACTCACATGCTTCATGTTACCCAAGGTCAAACATCGGCTTGATTTTATTCAATCAGATTATCTACAGTATTTGAACTACAAATTCTTTTGTAATTAAAATCCGAAAACTATCAAGTTTGTGTATTTTGCTGTGGCCTGCAACTTACTATGTACCGAATTAGCATACATTTTATCCGATATAGTTCATCATGTATCTTTTGACTGTCGCATCCCGCGCCAAATTTTAGTTTTCAACTATTATCTCGTCTTTTATTGTTTATAAACATGTGGTGATTGGTTTTCAGAAAACATTTTCTAGCAAAGAAAGTGGAATCGGATGGATTTGATGTTGGGTGGCTTGAGTAATGTAGAGCATGTGAATACTTCGCACGTGTACGCGAGCAGGAACTATATGAGTGATAATGTTACTCCTAGTCAAAACTATAGAAAATTATTATACACACGACTTATATAAACAGAAGAAACAAATTTCTACTGGCAGTATTTTGTCACACTTAATTCAGACGTTATTTGTACAAGTAGAAATAGGATATTTCGGGATGAAATTTGTTAGATAATTAGCATATTGCTATATCTACATGAAATTTTAAATCTTGTAACTATCATGGTTCTTGAGATTTAGAGTGATCGAGCACTTTCATCTCACTACTTCAGATACAGAAAACCTGACCACGTAGTCAATAAATTACCCAATGAGACTCATTCGGTCAATTTGTCGTCCGTCAGTTCGAGCCTAAAAGTATATGTCTGATATAAAATCAATTTCTTTATTATATCAAGTATTCCTTTACCCTTTTGCCATATTGCCGTTCTACTGTTTTTTGTCTTTGCATAAAAATATTACGTAAATGTTCAAAATGTGGAAATGCTTCTGGTTTTGCTTTTTCTTTCATAATTATCAACGCTCTTTCTAACAATGGTATCTTAAAAAAAGAATATAATTATTTATTTGAGAAATGTTGCATGATCCCAGAACAATGTACCTGGTCAACTAATTTTTGTTTAAGATTTTCAATTAACACTCGTGTATGATCGTCTCGATGGGCAGTCAAATATTCATCGGATAAAAATGCCTAGAAAAAAACATAATGTAGACGAAGAGAGAAAGGTCAAATCAATACACTTACCTGTTCAACCACCACATTTCCTCCCATAACAGCAGCATCTAGAATTCCGGCTGTCTAAATTTTCAATGAAAATCGACTCTTAGGATAGATAAGCGATTAGTCTTATTTACTTTTCCAAACAATGGTGTTACATTAAGCTCCTTATCCATTTCATTTGCCTCGACCAATGCTTTTAATTCTCTATGCGTTTTATCAAGCATTTGAACAGCATTCTCTAACGGACTAAGAACTGTCTGAAAACACAAAATTATTAATGTTGTCATATATGAAGAGAAAAAACAGGAAAATAACGTACTTTAACAGATTCACCGCATGAAATCCATTGTGCTGCGTTTGGTAGAGGAAGTGAAGTGGAAAATTCATACCGTTCAGACGAGTATTTCTAAAAACAGAAACCAAAAAAAAAAACAATCAGGTTGCATAAATAGCAAGAAGAGAATCTTACAGCAATATCAAGTGTCGCACTACGATCTTCATCACGAATAAACGTTCTTGTATACATAAAACGTGTAATTTCATTACAACGATAATACCTTAAGAAATAAAAGATACTAGTTCAAATTGAACACTGACACTAATTTCAACATACTGCAGAATTGCTTCAGCAACTGGACAACTAGAAAATCTTTCATCTTTATTCCATATTGGTTGGACAGATTGAATTTGAATATCTAACACACATAAACGTTAAATTAAAATCTTATTTTAAATGCTAAATATAAAAAAGCATAGCATACATTGAGACGCACTACCACGATATTCATCATCTATCTGAGTAATGGGATCGATCATAACTTAAAAAAAAATAGCCTTATTTTAGTATTGATCATATAAAAATATAAATTAATACTCTTTACCTGCACTTGGAAAAAGAGTTTGCATTTTTTCTCTTATATCATGTAGTCGCTGACCAGCTTCAGCTCGATAAACAAATACTTTATTCTAAAAATATAATTAATTGAGCAACAACTTTGACGTTTTTCGTATAAATATTACTTGCAAAAAATCATGAAATCCAGTACCATAACATCCAATACGAAAATATTCAATTTCAAACCGTGCACTGTGCATTATATTATCATACAATTTGGCTTGATGTTGCTGAAATAAAAAAAAAGATTTTCAATTAAATAGATAGCTTTTTGTATATCTAATACCAGTTGTCTTACCAGAAGTAAACTTAAACTTTTATAATCGAAAACAGATTCATACTGTGTCTGAAGTTCTTTACAGAACTGAATTGCTTTTTCCCATAACTAGAATAAATGAGATATTTGAGTTTTTAATCATTTTACATTTGTGTTTGCTATTTACCTGACCATCGTCAAAACATTTTATAATTTCTTGATAAAGACATTTTTTCAATTCCCAATGAGTTTTCAATTTTTGAAATGATGAATTTTTCAAATGTGTATCATCAAGAATTTCATCTTTATTCCACTAAAATAAAAAAAGAACGTATAATAAAGTTCTTTCTTACATTTCTTATACTGAAATCATACAGTAAGGAGTTTGGCGTGCAAACAAAGTGTATAGCCAGCTTCTATTTTGTTTTGTAATTTTTTGTTTATATCATACAATTTATAAATATATTTAACATACATTTCTTGATGATGAATTCCTTGGTAAAATTCCTAGTAGAAAAGTTTTTCTTTAGAAAAAGATAAAAAAGATAAAAAACGAAATTTATTACCATTAAATTTCGAACACAATGCATTTGTAAATCAAGTGTAGCCGTATGATCTGTTACCACTGTTCGTAACTCTATCAGTCTTGACAATTGATTATTGACCATATCAACAAAACGTGAACCATCTTTTGACAAACGTTTTTCTTTACAAAATTCATCAACACTAAAATATACACACACTTTTATCGTGTATAAAAGAAAGTTCTCTACATACTCTTACCCGCTTGTAAAAAAATCTTTAAATCCTTTATCTAAACGATGATCGTTGGCAAATTTATCCATTACAGTGATAAATTCATTTTCAAATAGTGAAAAATTAGTTTTTCGTGCACTTTCAACATAAATCATATCACATAAAATTCTTAACATTGAAACTCGAATATCTTTCACGGGTATAAGTGCAACAATCACAGCACCATAAACTTGACTTGGAATAAAATGCATTTTGTTATGTTCGTCTAAAATGACATACATTGCAGAATGTCATGAAAAAGGACATTAAGTAAGAAATTGTGACGATTGATCGAATAAAAAAAAAAACGTATGAACTAATAATAGAAAATCCTAAACTGAAGAATAGCGAAGATTAGAGAAATAGAAATGAACTCCGACAAATTAAGTTCTGCCATCTTGTTGAACTTAATTTGTTAAGTTTGTTAGATATGATCTATAACGTGTTTCCGCTGAAAGAGTAACTTGCTGACATGCTCAAATATGGGAGTGAATACCATCAAATCAGTTTTGCTCAATAATTATGACGCTAGATGTGCCGGGCTCAAATATTTTGAATAACTAAAATCGATTAATTAGAAAAAAATCACAAACTAGTTAAGAACTTTTTACATAAATAACACTTTACTACATATAATCGGTAGCTTCCACTAAGAATCTGAGATTTATCGTGGTTCATGGATGATTTTTGTAAGTAAATTTGGAAAATATAACAATAAAATTTTTCCGAGATAGCGATTGTATAGAACATAGACATCAATTGTCTCGTAATATGTTTATTTCTTCTCGTTTCGTGCTGTGAAAAAATTTTCTACAGCCATCTCGTGTCCTCCGAAGGAGTTTCGGTCTCGTTTTATTTTGTACCGAAAAAAGTTTCAAACGCTATATCATCTCATCTCGAGCATGGAAAATTGTTGTGATTCTATTTAATACTTATCGCATGGAAAAAATACAAAATAGAAATGAAAAAGAAATAAAAGTCTCTCTGTACTTCAGTAATTGTTTATTGAGATGCCATTCGTTTTAAACAGTGAGCTGACAGAGAACAAATTTCGTCTCGTCTATTTTTGTCTTATCACACAATTTAAAGAACCCGTTTTGCTTTGTCTCCTATTGTCTTACGCAATTTCGCAAGGCGAGATCGTTTCGTCTCTCTCTCTGATAGACACGTTTTGCATTTATGAGTAATACTACTTAAATACTCTTTGTATTTCGGAAATTCATTTAAAAATCACCTATAAACGACAACAAATGTCAGATTTTTAATCACCGTCATCAATTACACATAATAACGTGTCATTTATGCATAGAATTTTTGAACCATTCGTGACTTTCTCTTTGACAAGCACGTGCTAACAGTTTTAATTTAAAAATCAAACGAAATAAGAACTGGATGAATGAAAAATAAAAATGCAAAATGCTGAAATGAAACACATGCAAATAAACATACATCTACTATAAGAATACCAGCTATTCTTAATGAAATAAAGAAATAGAATTTGAGAAGAACATGATTTTTGATAAATACAAAACTAACTTACACAGTCGAAACCACATTTGCTTAAAATCGTTTGATGCTTCAATACGTAGATCTTTATATCTAAATGCAAATATTAAAAATATTAATTCTCAAAAAAACAACAACTTTTTTGTTAAATCGAAATACCTAGATAATATTCTCTTTCGTCTATTTGCTGTAAAGCTTTCCAATTGTAAACATGGTTGTGTGATGAGGTTTTCGATACATTGAAAATAGAGACGCCAAATCGTAGCCATCTAAAGAAATATATAATGTCATGATTGTTTAAACATATCTATTAATGAAGAATAAATTCACTTGTTCATTAAATCGTGATAAATCTTCTAATAGACGAGATGCAAATTTGTTTGTGGCACGAACTAATACACTAAAATAGTATTAAATACAGTAGAAATATTTAAATTAAAAATCAAAAATAACTCACGCATTTTGTAATAGAAGCATATCAGACCAATCATTCGGAAATAATGGTGTTGTAACTAAATCCTTGATAAGACCAAATGCATCGAAAAAAAAATCGATTAAACTTATTTCATCCATAGGTTTTAAATAATCACTGTAATGATGATCTTCCATTGATCGTAGTATAGCTATAATACCTGTACCAAAAGCAATCTAAAATAACAGACAGATAAAACTCTCATTACTAAGGAAAATAAGTAACTAACTGGTAAATCACGGTCCTTCGATCGAATAACAAGTAAGATTTGCATAAATACTCGAAGAATTTGTTTGGTAACAGCAAATATATCTGACGATGTCTAAAACATAAAAAAAATCAAGAGTAAAACCAAATTCAATAATTCAAAATGTAGAACACACCCGTTGTTTACTCTCAAATAAGACATCCATAACATTGCCGACAATTTTAGCACACCATGTTAAATTATCACGATCTCTCTGATCTAACGCAAATGATGTTGATAAATCGGCTCGACGAAATGTTTGTTGGGATTGTGATGCACGAAAATCTTCGGAATTTTGACGTTCTCTAATGAATATGTTACATAAACTCGACACATCTGCCATTATAACATCAAGAAGAACAGAACGACTTTCTGAAAAGAAAATCATTTTGTTTCACATTTTGTTTTGAAAATAAAGTGAAGAGAAAAAAATTTACCTGCTATGGAAATCAATGGTCCACGAGCTAATTCATTGAGACAACGTAATTTTGAAATAGTTAAACGTTTCGATGGAAGAGCTGCAAGAAATTCTTTTGCTGTTATTTCACTTAATATTACGGGATTAAATACTCGTTCAGAAACCATTTCAAACACCATTGATGGATACAGTTTGAGTACAATGCCTTGAGCTGGTGAGTATTGATCATCGGTGATTGAAAGTAATTTTGTAAACGAACGTAATACATTTTTAATTAATTGATCAAATATTGCTGCTTCCGCATTTGTTTTCCAATTAGTGTATAGAACACGAGATCGTACAACAAGTTTGAAGAGATATTCCAATTGTTTTAACATTTTAACACAATGATTATCATCTTTACGTTGTAAAAGATAATTATTTAATGTACTATCGATTAATTCGAGAAGAATAATGTGTGCCAATGTTGAACTAAATTTATTTTTAATATAGTCATCAAGTACAGTACGAAATGATTCAAATTGTTTCATTGAAAGTAAATCGAGAATACATATCAAAGCATGAAATGCAATCAACTGAATTCGATGAAATTCATTTACATTTGCGTCAGTATTCTGTGATGTCAAAATGATAAATAATTTATCAAGTATATCTTTGAGATTTTTAACAACTTCAGCAGCACGATCAATAATATCCAATGATAATACATTAGTACGTTCACTGATACCTGGTGATTGCTCGTTCAATGTTTGCCGTTCACCGCCCATATAGTGTACAAGTTCACTTAACAAATGTTCGAGATCAACAGATGAATCGGGTGTCCATGTTAACAATGTTAAAATAACAGCTAAACAAATATAATTTGAAGAAATAGAATAACAAGTAAAACATTTTTTGTTTACGTATTTGGGTAAGTTGTGTGGAAACTATTTTGACATGGACGACAAAATGTTCGCGATAGTTTGGAGAGAAATAATCAGATGGTTGATAAAAGCGAGATGATGCTTCATCTAATGATAGACGACTAGTATTATTATAACCATTTACATTTACAGGAGCGCTTATTTGTACAGCTTGAAGGTTTATATAACCATTCACCATATCATTTTTTCGCGGCATCATCTAAAAAATACAAAAAAGATTATGAAAAAGACGGGTCTACAAATTCAATACACTACCTTGTAGACAATCAAATGACGAATTCCATCCTGAATAACAGTACCAGCTTTTTCAATCAGTGGTAAAAATGCGAGTGCAAACGGTTTCTCTGCTTTATCTTTTACTAGAACAAAAAACGTATACCCATTACATCTAAATCTTCAGGTTATATTTAATTAAACTGCTGAGCTGTTATTACGAGTACACCGTAAATCTTAGAATGCAGAAGAGTTTCGTACTATTGCTACTGTTTTCTATCATCTGAGTTTACTTTATATGTACTTTCATTCGTATGACGTTGTCGAAATAAGAATCTGACATGATATTGACGCATATCTTCTACTTTGAAAGAAAATGGAATAGCTATCTAAAGAAAGACGAAAAAAGATCATAATAAGTATTTGATAAACAAAAAAAACAATTTTTCATACTCGGAATGTTTCATTCCATTTCGGCTTGTCTGTTTTCGTGCTAGTCACTGATCGATGAACAACATCAGTTGTACAATTAACACCAACATTTAATAATCCCTACAGAATATATATCATTGACATAAATTGAAAAAAACAAAAACTATCTGACGTCTTACACGAATTGGATTTTCATTTTCATCGCAAAGTTCAGATGTATATTCGTAATTACCAGCTTTACTAAACTCAGCTCCATGTACTGTTATGTATATGTCATTGCGAAGATCATCTAAACAAAAACACAATTTGTTATAAAATGAGAGTCCATACGTTCGATACAGACAAATTGATAGAATTTACCGGGCATGATCACATCTGGAAAATCGAGCTTTCGACAAATCCGTACATCTCCATGTAATATATGTGGATAATCGTTTTTAAGCTATACCAAGAAAAAAATATATAAAACAACAACAGAATTCACTCTAATCGTAATACCTCACGATATCCACCTGGCAAAATTTGTAATTTAATTGTATACTTTTTTGGTAAATCAACATCATTGGATTTTGCTGCTTTTTGAATAATAGATGCCAACGTATCACGTTCATCCCAACTATAAGTTAAAAAAACGTAAGTAAAAACAAAATAAAATGAAAAACGCTAAACTACGTACGAAATGAATCCAAACGGTATTATAAGTTCTTTATCTGATGTGGTAACTTGCATTCGTGTGTGACAATCTAGTTGTTGTGTGATATTAATTACTAAAACAAAACAAAAACCGAATACAATCGTCAGAGAGTACCAGTAGAGTAAAAAGTGGGCTTACAAGCAACTAAGCACGGTCGCCTTAAATCATTTGTTTCATTTTTTATTTTTTTTGTTGTATTGTCAGTATCTTTCATTTCATACATTGTACCAATTCTTATTACATATAAAACTAGATATTTGACGGATGATTGAGACGTGGAAGCAGATGACATTGATTTTAAACATCGCATACGATTTATATCCTTAAACGAAAGGCAAAGATAAAAGAATATCTAAATAAAAACCTCTTTCACTCACAGTAAATGCTACTCTATGTTCATTTAAGCGTAACGCATCCTTCTGTCGAATAACAAACGTTTCACTAAAGTAAATACACTTCTTTTTTCAACAAATAAACTGAGATCGTCGATGCACTCACTAACCTTGGAAGCAAATTCATTCCATCGTCTGTAGAAATAACATCGTATAATGTTAGCCATAACTCAGCAGAATTATCGACTACTGGTAGTTCAAGCTTATCAAGTGTTACTAACATTGATTGTGTAGATGTGTTTGATGAATCGCCATGAGTACGAGGTTTTTCAATCTTAAGAAAAAATACAATAATTTTGAAGCAATAGATTTATATCAATGAACTTACATCATCCAGTGGTTTTTTAACCGCACGAAGCAAAGAAAGTAATTTATGTGTACTTGTTTTTGATGGATTTGCCAAATTAAAATTTGTGTCACGAACAATCAAATCCAATTTTAATAGACTTTGAAAAACAAAAAACATAAGAAATTATAAGAAAACAAAATTTGAGCGTAAGAAAATACCTAGTTCCTTTGTCAATTGCATCAACGATAGTTTGTTTAAGTTCAATCAGCTCTTCCTATGAAAAAAATAGTTATATTTTATTAAAATTTTCAGTAAAAGTGAAACTCACATTTGTATGACTACGACGGATCAAACGTCGCCTACTACGGATAAGTTGGAGCATTATTTTATGGACAAGATTATATGTTGTCTTTTGATCATCTGTATAAAACTGTTCCAAATGATATCTAAATAAAAATAGAAATTTATAGTTGACGACGAACAACAGACATTGAAATGAAATAAAAAATTATACCCCCATTCTCGAAGAATCCCAGTTAGATCAGTTGCCAGAGGATCTTCACCATGAAAATTTGTAACGCTGAAAACAAGACAATTCCATTTCACGAAAGAATTGCATATCCGAAAAACATACTGATTATTCTCAACAACGACTGTTTTAGTATGAACAAATGATTTTGGAAAAATTCCATCAATTTGAGGATTATTAGCCAAGCATCCATAATACCATTCTAAATTAAAACATTTTTAAACGTTGGATGCTTCAATAAACTTTCTCTCTTACCATCACATTCTTCTTTAATATAAACTGCATCACCTAACAGTAATGATAATTGATCATTTGATGAAGCCGAGAAAGAACATGTTGCTAAAATACAGAATAACAACAAATAATTGATAAACAATTTTGACTGTAAACAGAGTTATCTTACCAACACCATACAAAAATAGTGGATTGCAAAATTTGTCTTTAAATTGTTTCCAAGAACTCATATAGTCTCCACTAGGATATCCAAAATTATATTTTTGACTATATGCGTTATTTCTCAAAAAGATTCGTAAAAGAATAAACAAAAAACATATAAAGGATGCCAAACTGAAAAGAAACTTTTAAGTCAATTCCATTAAAAAGATACAGGAGTGCTGTCATTTGCACATATTTTCAAATCAGAACATGATCCTTTTAGTATGAAAATTCTAACCGAAACACAAGTACACAACCATCAATCAATTAATAAAATAATAACATCGTATAGAATGGGTGACTCACTACTGATTCATTACTCAGTTACGATTGGCCTAGACTTAATCCATTCGGCAAGCTTATTGGTAAGTCAGCTGGTTAATATCAATCCAAAAAAGAATGATATATGGATGTTTTTTTGAATAACTCGAAAATGGAAAGAGCTAGAGCGATGTGGCTTTCACCAATTGAACGAGAAGCATGCTTTGCAAGCGGAACATTTTTCGGATAGCTTGCCAAAAACGAGTTTTTGAACGGATCTTTGAGAAACTTCTGCATAAGTTGAAAGTTTAAAACAACAAACCATTGATATATTTTGAATGAAACTAAAGCAAACGATTTTTCATGCACCATAGAATTTTTCATAGGATTGTCAGCGGTATCGCCACAGATTTTATCAAATTAGAGTTTTACATGTTTTTGAATATCGCCAAAAATTCTGAAGTCTGGGTGACGTAATTCTAAAATCTGAAATTTAAATTTCTTAATTAAAACTCGTAATTAAAATCTTTCTTGAAATTTAAATTTCAAAAAAAATTAAAATTATAGCGGCATTAGAGAGAGGGCTCAATTCGACATTTAGAGACGATCCCAGTCTCGAACCATCGAGATATCGCAGGATACCAGTTTTTGTTGCGGGAACCCGCTAAAAATGCTGAGATCGCGTTTTCTTTTTGCTGTCAATCTTTCGTCTGCTAATTGAACGGTATCAAGGTCGACTCCCACTGATTTTATAAAGTGTACAAAACAAACTTTTGTAATAAACACAAATTTTATTTCAACAGAAAAACGAAAAATGAATAACCAACAGACGTTTTAAAACAGAGTACAGATAGAAAAATACCAGAAGTACGAGATTACATTTGTCTAATAACTATATAATGAATCAGATTGTTTACAAAGTATTGAAAAAATTATTATTATTATTTTTTGTTCCAAAAAAGAATATTATTATTATTTACAAAGTTAGTACAAGAGAAGGAGAGAGACATTTTTAGACTGTTGATGGAGATGTTCTTCCTGATGTTCATGTTGAAAGATCTGGTGTTGATATTAAGCGACGTTGTTCTCTTGATAAAACCTTTTTCGTGTCTCGACGTTTGTTTAATAATACATCATGTAATGTACACCAACTAATGTTAAATACTTCGTCGTTTAGCTTAAACTTTAATTGACCATTTCTAGAAAAAAACAGAATAGTTTAACAAAGACTCATTCGTTAAGGATATTCAGATAGAATCCCTAGTGAATGTACTTGCAACCAAGTTCTTAAGAAGTCTTGTACTTTCTGAGTACTTTCAAGGACTTGAGCAAGTACTTGTCAAGTACGATCAGTTTGTATCCCTCGTGAAACTTCTTGTACCCAAGATCTTGACTTCTTGAATTTTTTCAGTAAGATCTTGGCGAGAAAACATAAGAAATTCAAGATCTTGAATCATCTTGGCTCGCTCCACTCAAGATCTTGATAATTCTTGAATCACCGTTTTGTTTCACACTCTTGCTTGTATATAGATGCAAATTTGCATACTTAGAATAACTTCACTTTCGTTTTGTTTCGTTTGTTTTTTGAACATATTCATCGAGGAAGAGCTTTCGATCATATGCGATCGTACGACTGACGACTATGGCTGTTATATAAAAAAGGAAAATATAATAAAAGCCTTTCAGTCAAGATCTTACAACATGAGCACTCATGGACTTAGAATGTACTTGACCAAGTACTACTAAACTACTTGTCAAGTATCCAAGTCCTTGAACTCGCAACCAAGTTCTTATGACATTCCTTACAAGTACATTCACTAGGGAAGTTGTCTTTGTAGCTGCTAGACGTTGCAATATTTATTTGCAAATATTAACCTTCAGATAAGTGTAAGATGCAAAGAAGTGCAACTTTTGCGTGCGAACCTTCAGTCAACTGATATCGATAATCTTGTTTTACTTGTAATGAGTTTAAATCAACTAGTTGTTGTTTTGTAAATACAAATTCAATTAATGCTATCACGTATAAATTCATTTTCGATTTTACACCATCAACTTTCAATAAATCCGCATCAACACCAGTATTGGGATTTGTAAACATCTAGAATAATCAAATGAAGTTTCTGTAGAACAAATACTTTTAAATAATGAAACTTACGATTGTTGTCTGAAACGTTTTATTATCATCTGGTTGTTCCATTCTCAGGATCTTCTAATGGTACATATATCTAAAGTTCAAGTAATAGGATTTATTGTGAGGCAGAAGCAAGTTCCTTCGTACAAGACGAGACGAAACATGTATTTCAATTCTCTTGTCCTCAAGGTAAGGCAATAAAGAATGGTCTGCGTTTCATACCTTTCTGTTACATAAAGATTTTTGTATCTTTTTCTGATTTTTAACATTTTTAACATTTTTTCTCGACGTTCTTGATTAATTAACAATTGTTTTAAATATTTTTCTTCAACTTTCATATTCGATAATAATGACTGTTTTAATAAGACTGTAAGTTCCTCAGACTGAAAATAAACTATATATCTAGTTTTGGTTAAAGAATTTACATATCACCGGAAAAAAAATAAAGTTGGTTTAGAGTTGCTGAAAAGTGGTTTTTCATATTCAGCACACTCGATAACCCAGAAGATTTTTCTGTTTTGGGTCCGAGGTACTTCCGAAAGCTTAGGAAAAGTTTTCAAATTAATATTATTTTTCCATGGAAAACTTTTTGCACCATTTTGTTTCAAAACTTTTCTTAAACTTTCGAAGTACCTCGGGTCAAAAATAGAAAATCTTCTGGGCTATCGAGTGTGATGAATACGAAAAATGACTTTTCAGCAACTCTAAACCAACTTTATTTTTTTTGTTCCGGTGATATGGCGCATTGATAATGAACGTTACCTGTTCACCATCAGTATCGTCATCATTGTTTTTAATAGTGTTATTTGTATGAAGGACTTTTGTCCCAGTTAGTTTTGGAGTTTTGGTGTTTTGAGAATTGTTATTGAAGACTGTGTTCCCAGTATACTACCAACCGTAAAGCTGTTATTTGTTTTTCTTTTGAGAGGATGATCTGCATCACTATCACTATAGAACATCGATTGCAGAACGTCATTCGAATGACGTTCTGCAATCGATATCCCCCGACTTTTCCAAAGTCGGGGGCTCCTTTAGACCAAACATTTTCAGAATGTTTGATCTAAATCAAAAAGTTGTATCGTTGCTGAGATACTGAAATTTTACGAAAAGATCTGAAACACGTGGATTCCGCCATCTTGAAAATTTGCTAACTTTAAACTCTTGTAATTCAGTTACAAGTTTCCAAAAATGTTTTCTTCGATCGCCATAAAGAGAGTAAAATATATACGATCGACTTTGGTCCGACTCTCGAAAACATTCCTTTTTACATAGATTCGAGCTAACTATGTAAAAAGGGATGTTTTCGAGAGTCGGACCAAAGTCGATCGTATATATTTTACTCTCTTTATGGCGACCGAAGAAAACATTTGTTGCCAACTTGCAATAGTTCTGTCGTCAATCAGAAAATAACTCGATTCGATCTCTGCCAACTGTGCGTCTAATAATAAGTATATCATAGTAATTCGTTTTAGAAAACAAGAAAAAAATGCTCTTTTCTCCATATCAACCGTGTGTGGTATAATTGCACAATCTCAACTTATTTTCAACATAAATGAAAGAAAAAGAACGGGGAAGAAACGGAGGTCCGAAGTGTTCGGGTTATCAATCATGATTTCAAAAAATACCTAACTCTTTCCGGACACAGAATACGACCTCCTCTGCTTTTTGTCGTTTTATTCTGAAAATAAAGTGCTATGAAACGTATTGAACTATTAAATGAACAACAGTTCTTTCCCAGTCTTCTTTACTTTTCCTCGTTTCGGAAATATTCGCAATAAAGATAAACCTACGATAACTCGATTTGTTTGTTGTAAGAAGTAGTTAACACAAACTAATAATTAATTGTTGGTAAAACAGGACGATATATGATATCAATTTTTCGTCATTTATCTTGGTTGTATTCTAAACGCTTCGTTATATAACTTGTATTTTATACGTTATATATAGCTAAAGCAAATGATTTTTACGGAAACGATAGTCAGTACTAATTTGATAAATCTGATAATATTCACTTGAATTTATGAAGTAGTGTGGGTTTGCTAACACCAATATATCACTAATGTATTTTCGTACAAAAAAATGGTAAACTACACCACACAGTATGATACAAATTGTGATGGACGAATCAGCACGTGCATGAGAAGAGAATGACACTTTTGACCTTGTACCTCCTTAATAATGAGTTAGTTTTAATCGTATAGTCAATACTAACATAATACTCATTCTTTAAACAATACTGTTTCCAGAAGATAAGTGGGTGACATAGAAAGAAGAAGAACCGAGTGAAAATAAAAACAGGGTTCTTAATGCATCGATGTACATTGTTTGCAATCGAATGAATGGTATAATTTATTTTTCCGTTTTGGTCAGAATTGATTGAGTGATCGTACGTGGGTATACGACGAACCGAACAATCGACTCGGGCAAGTTCGAATCGGACACTGCTTGACCCTTTCACTGTTTGACTCAATCACAGTTTGACTCAAACAGTGTCCGAATCAAACACTGTTTGACTCGCACATTAACCGATTCGGACATGTTCGAACAGAACATTCAAACACTGTTCGACTTTTTCATTTCTGTTAAGTATCTGCTTAGTGCATAAATCTGATTTGTTTTAAGTGTGTTTAAATCATCACATCAGTGGCTGAAATAATCGAAGATGCTCCGAACTTGCAGGTGTCAGCAAAGCTGTTGTTATTTATTCAACTCTGATGCTGTTCAGACTAGAACTGAAGAAAGAATGCGACTTTTGAAATACACAGACTGCGACTAGATTGGTTTTCTGCTATTTTAAGTCTGATTTCCCCACTTGATTACTGGTGTTTTTCTGCGATGTCGACTCACCTCTCACGTGGAAAAATTTTCCATTTTCAAAGCATTAAGAGCCCTTTACACTTACACAGTGGGCATTTTTCTATAGAGCAGGCGGACATATGCTGTAGAAGTGGTATGAAAGCCTATAAACACGTTCTTCTATAGGTTTTCGAATATGTTCTTTCTAATGACGAGATTTTCAGTACTTAAAAGTAATTCCTTGTGGGTTTTGTGGAGACCGGATCTCTGGAAAACTCATAAAAAATATTTTTGCATTTCGCGAACCTCACTATTCGAAAGATCATATTCGAAAACCTATAAAAAATGTGTTTATAGACTTGTGTACTATTGCTAAAATAAATATCCAAATTCCTAAGCAAAATTTGCTGCGGACAAGCTTTCAAGTCT